CAGCACTGCCCTGCGTGTGCCACCACTGGCAGCTCGGGTTCCCAGGCCAGCGTCCACCTCAGCCCGCTCACCTTCTCGGAGTAGTGCTCTCCGGGGAGCGGCGGGTAGTCACACTGCTCGATCTTCTGGCAGAGGGAGAAGAGATTCATCTTATCTCCGTAGAAGGGGCTCTGGAGAGCGGCCATCTACAAGGGGAGAGGCGACAGTTGGCCGTCCTGAGGCAGCAGGACACAAGGCAAAAAGGGGCACCCCAGATTGGGCTGTGGTCTTTGTTGGGCCCTCCCTGCAGCAGCTGTTGACAGGACCTCCCAGACCCCAAGAATGAGACTCGAGAGGGGAACGTAGAAACGCATCATTGATGGAACTTCAAAGGCGGTAAGGAAGGGCAGTGACTTCTTTAAGAGCTTTTTGCTATAGGGTGTGTGCTCGCCAGAGAGACAGCGAGACAGAAAGCAGGAAATCACTCCCCGGGAAGGGGGGGATGGTCACACCGTGATCCCTTCTCCTCCATTCTCCTCTGGGGATCTTGGGCACGCACACACACGCACCTGGTGTGAATTTTAAAGCACTGGGTCCAGGACTTGAACCACCATCGACTACACTGAGTCCAGCAGTGTAACCAATACACCATCTGCTGGTCCCAGGGGCAGTTGAATTCTGAGAGCACTTCTCACCCTCTGCCTTGGCCATCAAGGATCTTTGCTAGGACCTGGGTCTGGGCCCTCTAGGTTTTCCCTAGCACACTTCTCTCTCTCTCTCTCTCTCTCTCTTTTTTTTTTTTTTTCTTGGAGAGGGTTTAGCTACAGGGTGCGTGCACTCGCCAGACAGACAGAAAGCGAGAAATCACCCCCCAGGGGGGATGGCCACGCCGCAATCCCTTCTCCTCCATTCTCCTCTTGAGATCTTGGGCACGCACGCACACGCGCCCAGCGTGAGTTTAAGCCACTGGGTCTGGGACTTGAACCGCAGTCGACTACGTAAGAGTCCAGCGACATAGCCATTACGCTAACTGCTGGTCCCATCCCTAGCACACTTCTCTAAAAAGCAATTCCGAGGGGACCAGCAGTTAGCGTAATGGCTATGTCGCTGGACTCTTACGTAGTCGACTGCGGTTCAAGTCCCAGACCCAGTGGCTTAACCTCCCGCTCCCAAATAAAGCAATTCTGAGGACACATGTGGGGCGATGTCTGTTTAAGTGACACATTTAGAAAACTATTTCCCCAAGGACTAACATCTTGGGGGAAGGCGTCTTACTTTTGGCCTTCACTGTGGCTGTCCTTGCCCATTACAGAGCTGCTGTCTGTGGGAGCTAGATGCCAGACATTGTCGGATAGGCCAGGAGGTGGCAGCCAGCCTCCTGACTCTGGATGAAAGGCCTGGGACCCTCTGCTGCTGGGACACTCACAGTGGAACGGAGGTGCCCGGCTCTTTGGTCAGCCCAGCTCTGCCTGGCCTTCAGCTCTGCCTGGCCCCCAGCTCTGCTTGGCCCCCAGCTCTGCCTGGCCCCTGGCCCCCAGAAGTTTTCAGCGTGAGCTGCCCACTCTCCTTGCCTTGCATAGGCAGTAAAGCTGGACGGTCCTCCATCACACCTCGTGTTCTCAGTTTGGTTTGTGGTGCTCTGTGAGGCTCGGCTGGATGAAGTTGGTCAATGTGTTCACCCTGGAATGGATGGCCAACCCCAGCTCTGCAGTGTCTGGCTTCGGTTTCCTCAGCTGTGAAATGGAAAGAGGCCCCACCTGTAGGGCTGAGGAGGGCTGGGCTGGCACGTGTAGGAGGCACCACCAGCTGGGCTGTCACCATCTCTGCTGGGCCTGTGGCACTGATGGGTACTCACCCCTTAGGGAACTATCAGGCCGCCCTGGCCTCCTGGCTGGCACCATTCAGAGCACTAGTGGAGGTGTTCCTTAAAGGGGTATGCAGGTGTCATGGGGGCTCTGAGAGGCAGTGGTGTGGCAGCCCAGCAAGGCACCCGCCTGCCCATCTGATTAACCCATGGGGGGTCCATGTCATCTACACCAGACGATGGCCCACTGCCTCTGCTGCTGGGGCACTGCTGGGTACCTGTGCCCGCCTGTCTGGCCAGGTTCCCTTCTGAGGGGCTGGGCTGCCAGGTCTACTCTGCTCTGGCCCCTGGCCAAAGCTCCTGCGACAGCCATGGTGGGATGTTGGGGTCCTGATAGGTCGGGGGGCCCATCTTAGTGTCCTGCTTTTCTGGCCCCTGTTCACCCTGAGCAGGGCTATCTCCTTCACAAGGACCCGGGGAGCTTCTGGAATGGGTGGCATCCTTGGATTTGTAGAAATGGGAGGCAGCAGAGTGTGGCCTGGAGATACTGGGGTTCCCTTGGGCCCAGGTCCAGGAGTCTGGAGGCAGCACCCGAGGGCCAGCTGCCCGGCCATGCTGAGGGCTTGCAGCAGGTATTCAGAGGGAGCACGGTTCTCCCACCGGCGCGGGGCTGGGAACCCGTCTGGGCCACGGGAGAGGTTCTGGTACTTGGCAGGGAAAGACGGGTGTGTGGGGGCCTTGCCCACTTGGGCTCCGGGGGCCCAGCTGGGAGTGGTTCTGCTGAGTCTGCAGAAAGGCGAACTTGGGCGATGCATTTCTAGGGGTTAGAATGAGAACCTCGGGTGCAAAGGGGTAAGTGGGCAGCTTCAGAGGACGGCTGTCGCCACTGCGGCTGAGACCCCAGGTGGTCGCCCAGGCAAGCTGGTGCCTCCGTACAGCAGCTGGAGGGTTCAGATGGATTTTCCTGGGGACTGCTTTTGCTCCGGGCAGAGAGGACATTTCGGGTTGCTGCTGATGCAGGCCCGGTTTTTTTCATGCATCTCACCTGCAGAGGGACTGGCTGGGTGGGCTTTCAACGAGCCAGCTGGGTCTGGTTTTTACAAACCTGCTTGGGACTCTGAAAGGAGCCCAGAAAATCTGGGAGGGCAGTGAACCCCGTGTCTGCCATCACCTTCAGATCACTCTTCCATTCTTTCCAGCACCTTCTCCACATTGCTTCAGAAGAGCGTTTCGACCAAGGCCAGTGGCGGGTTAGCCAGAAGAGCCCTCGGCCTTCCTTGCTCTTGGGGCTTCTCCGTCCATCAATGCAGATCCTACTGGGAGCAGCGGCCCTGCCTGCACCCCCTCCAGCTGCCGGCCATGGGCCTTCTGTCCACATTAGGGCAGCAGGCTGTGACGGAACCTCTGGGGCTGCGCATGACGCTGGGATTAGGACAATTAGCCTGGGTGGGGAGATCCCCTCGGACTGGGGACCAGCCAGCCTCTGACTGGCTGAGGCAGAAGAGGAATTGCTGTTTGGGGCCAATACCGGTGGCCTCGTTAGAACTGCCGAGGCCATGGCTCTCAGCGCTGCTCCTCAAATGTAAAACTTTTCCTTTCTGGTATTATCGGGATGACACATTGCCGAGGAAAAGGGACCGGGCGGACACCTGCCCCCGCTGGGCGGGCTCGGAGAAACTGGTACGTGATCTGAGATGTCAGAGGGAGAAGGGGGGATCTGACTGCAGAGAGCAGTGACTGTGTCTGACTCCCGCCTGTCAGGGCCCCCGGACACCCATCCTGTCACCCGGCATCTCCCGAGCACATCCTGGAGTGAAGGATGACCCTGAGGTGAACCGAGATGTACTCCACAGCCCTGTTCCCCATGAGGGCGTGACAGCAGGCCAGAATCCCGGAGCATTCTATGAGAGGCACAGTGGTTCCTGCCCCCGCGGGCCCGCTTTCCTGCTGGGTCTCAGCCAGGAGGCCCCTCTAGGCTGCTGCGAGAAGGCTCCCACCGGGCTGCCGATTCCTAGGGTCCCATGCTCAGAGCTGAGCGCCTGCTGGGCCTCCCTAGGGCATGCTGGGTAATGAAAACAGAGCCCCAGCCATGGCCATGCCAGCACCTCTGCCTAAATGACCTCCCTACTTACCACGGGAAAGGCACGGACACAGAGGCACCCTGAGGCCCCAGAAGGAGCCCAGCCCACAGCACCCTACTGGCTCAGTGGAGCTGACTTTGGACTTCTTGTCTCTAGAACTGCAGAAAACACTGATGTCCGAAGCCACTGACTGGTGATGTTACGGCAGCTTCGGAGACTCCCGGAGCCGGCTGGGGCTCGGGAATGGGCAGGCCTGTCCCCATCAGGATGGGGCCTGGGGAGGGGAAGGGTAGCCCCAGCTCACAAACAGGCACCCAGGAAGACACCGCAGGCCGTGGGGCGGGAGGCTGGGCTGTGGCCGTGGGACGCGCCCCCACACCGCAGCCTTGGTATGGGACCTTCCCCATTAGCTGGGAAACCCGCTCCCTTCACCTCTGTGATGCCAGCTGGGACAGTGACCATCACCCTTGTGGGGGCTGGCACAGGTAGCCACATTAGCCCTGTTCTGGGTGCCCAGGGCCATCGGGTCTAGATCAGTGCCCACTGGCCCTGGGGACATCTGGTCCCGGCAGAATGGGGCTGACTGATCTCACTGACATCTCGCGGCTGACGCGTCCCCTGCTGCTGCCAGCCGCACACAGGCCAGCACCCACGGCAGCCAGCTGAGTGGAGCCTCACTGCCGGGTAGCCACCAGGCGCATGGGCCTATTAGACAGGCTTTGAGGAGCCCAACACAGGACGCGGAGGACTGCCTGTCCGGGAAGCCAGCAAGGCCTTGCATGGGCTGGGCTCTCTGCCTGGGAGGAGCTGAGACAAAGGTGCGGGCAGGATGCAGGGTGGGCAGGTGCAGGGCTGCTTCTCCAGTGAAGGCCTGGAGATGGGCAGAGGGGTCAGCCAGGGACTTCCCTAGTCCTGGCCTTAGCCTTGGTCAGCTGAGAGTTTATGTTTGGAGACCCTGTGGTTCATGGAGGGCAGGAAATGGCTGACAAAATACAGAACGCAGAATGAAAAAAGAAAAGGAAAACACCATCTGGACTAGGGCTGATACACGCGAGCACAGGAGCACAAAGCAGGTCTTCCACAGGAACTGCAGCTGAGCTTCCCGCCGGCCAAAGCAAAAAAGGGAAGTATGGCAAACTGAAGAAGCTACCGCCAAAGGCGGGGAGCCAGAGCCAGAGCTCAGCTTGCAGTAGGTCGGCAGCTCGTGGACAGGCAGGCCTGAGGGCTTTCTCTGGGCTAGGCGCCTCACCCACGTGGCCTCAGCTGTGCCACACACCCCCCACCCCGCCCCCAACAGGGCTCTATTCTACATGTAAGGGAGGGGCGGGCTTGGCTCAGGTCCTTCGGTGGGCACGTGCAGAGCTGGGATTCTGGGTTCCTCTGACCAACCCCAGGGTCCTGCTGAGACCAGCATTTCTCACCCACATCGCCAGAGCCACGCGCTGGTGTGCGCACACCCGCTCTAACTCCCACTGCAGAACATGCTCCCTGCTGCTGCTGTGCTCGGGCATCTTGAGGCCCAGGAGACCCCGAACAGCTGTCCCCACCCCTCAGCACCCGACACCAGCTGGACGATGCCCCTGTAGAGGTGGGTTGGCATCCCCTCCGCAGACCCTAGGACAGGGCACGCGGGGCAGGGCTGCCATCTGGAGCACAAGCCAGAAACAGGTCAGCACCTGGTCTGGACTTGGCTTTGCCACTGGCCTCAGCGACCTCAGGGGCCAGAGAGTCCACCTGCAGAAGTGACAGGACCTAGGGGTCGGCTAGGGAGACTGGAACTCGTGGTTCATCTTGAGTGACCAATACCCAGGGACTGCCTGGTTTTACTGCTTTCAGCGAACGCCCGTTCAGGGCAGTCGGGAACACGCGGGCACACAGCGCCCGAGACACGCAGGTTCCTTTCCCGTCGTCCTTGCCGAGAAGGGTTGTAAGTTCCCTCTTTTCTCCTGTTTTCTCCCAATTCCCTCCTGCATCCCCTGGCCTCTGCAAGCTCACCGTCCCACACATCCTGCCCAACTACCCCAGAGCTGGGCTGTGCAGGACACACCACTCTGTCCCTTTCACCGGTGGGGCAGGCACTGTGCTCCACACTCCCCGACTGCTCAGTCACCCAGTGGTGCCACCCCACCTCAGCTGCTCCAGTGAGCTCATCAGAAGACCCCTGCCCTGTGACTGATGCTGTAAAGGCCCAGCAAGAGGCCCCAGCCAGCTCCCACCACAGACTGCTCCGGCCCAACTTACCCACAGACCTCCAGCGACACAGTGGGGTGCCTATCTGTGCTGACCTCCAGAAGGGGGCCCCAAGCCCCGAGGGCCACACCTCCAGGCCATCTTTTACAATGAATATTACTGGGTTCTGTCATTACTGCCAGGCCACTGGTGTAAACGGCAAGACAGGATGGGGCGTAAACCCTACAAGGGATCAGGGCCTGGGTTCCATGTCTCACTCTGTAACGCAGGGAGGGAAATCGCACTCCCAGAGCCCAGGCCATGCGAGCCACCATGCCCGATGTGGCCGGCAGCAGGCTGCACATTCGGGCGGAGCTCAGTCCTCAGGGCTAAGTCCCTGCTGACACCAACGAAACACTCGGGCGAACCGTGGGCACGTGGGACTGTCACCAGCCACATCAGCTCCATCATGAAGTCCTTTCAGCTACTCGGCGCCAAGCCGGCTCCGCGTGGGCATCGGGGAAAGCAGGAGTCGAGGCCCAGTTCGAGCACCACGCTGTGCTCGGGCCTCAGCTCTCAGGTGGCCAGAGCCCCGGTCTGTCTGCTGCTTCATGCGCCAGGACCGCCACAGTGCAGGACAGACACTGCAGTTCCCATCCCCCGGCGGGGTGGGAGTGTGGCGGCCCATGTGGCAACACCAGGGGCTCGGGCTCCCTCTTGCTGGTGGCTGCAACAGCTTCCTGGCGAAGAGTGGCTGAGGCTCCCCAGACCGGGGGCCCCAGCATGGCTGGCCTAAGCCGGTGGGGGGCTCCATCCACTCACATCCCGTTCCTGAGCCCGAGATGCAAACGGTCCTGCCCCCTGGTCCAGGCTGGCCTCTGGATTTGGAAATGGCCAAGTGATGGCACCGTTTCTTGGCTCAGGGGAGGGGTACTCTTGTGAGACCCACACTGCTGGGCCTGGAAGGGGGGCGTTCCTCAGAGTGGCGCGATTTAGAGCCATCAACTGGCTGCCTCCCCTCCCATCTCCAGCACCCTGCATGGGGCTCGATCCATCCCAGAATCGCGACCAATGAGCAGAACGAAGGACCAGCATGGCTGGTTACCGAGGACACCAGGGGTGGGCGGCCGGGGTCTGACAGCTGGCCCAGCCGTGCTCCCTCCGTCTGCTTCCAGTCTGCCCTGCTTCCTGCTCTGAGTAGCCCCAGGGTGAGCTGGCCCCCGGCCTGCCCTGTCCACCCTCTGACCCCTTCTGCCAGCCTGACACCCCTCTCCAGGCAGAAGCTGGGCTGAGGGAGGCAAAGGACAGGTCCCTGAGGGCACCAAAGCCACGGGCAGACACGATGCATTCCGGGTTTACACCCTAAGCTGGCAGGGTGAGCTCCTCCCTGATTGGATGCCCCCAAGCATGTCCCACCAAATGCCACCGAGCTGCGGGCAGAGGCTCACCTCGTACAGCAGGCAGCCCAGGGACCAGATGTCGGACTTGAAGTTGTACCCGTTCTCATGGATCCTCTCCGGCGACATGTAGTACGGCGTCCCGACTGAAACACAGCGAGCGGCGGGGTCACGCTCGGCCACGGGCCACAGGCAAGGGGAGGCGGGTGGGGCGGGGAGAGGGAGTTATCTCTGAGCAGCGCCTCTCTGGGCCTGCCCCTCATGTCACCTGAGAGTGCTGACTAGACTGGAGGGTCCCACACTGCTGGGGCATTAAAAGCACCCGGACGCCGGGAACGTCAGGTTCCTAGGACCCATCGGGGCCCGAGTTGCTCTGAGTAGGGAGGGTTCGGTTTCTGCCCATTGCCGTGGGAGTGGGCAGTCCGGCCAGGCTCTGGGAAGCCGGTGACCATGGGTCCTGTGAGGGGTCCGTGGGAATCCGGAAGATCTGGATCAGGCTGTCCACCGTGGTTACCATCACCACGCATTTTGCACGTGCTCTGTCACTCACGTTCCAACGGTCCTATCAGGAGCACCCCCACTTTACGGATGGAGAAGCAGGACTCAGGCAGGCGGGGAGGCCTGCCTAAAAGCAGCAAGGATGGGGAAAAACCAGC